ATTTTATAGAGAAAGATCTCAAAGAACATGTCTTTTCTCTTAATATTTATTTCTCTACATGTTTCACATGAGTTGCACCTTCACAAATTTTAGATGTTATAAAGTGTACGTCTAGATCATTTACTCTTTTTATGTTTAACTCTCATGATGTGTTACTGATTCCCAGTTGCTTGTCTTTACCGACCTTATTCTGTATACATGGAATGTCTTTTTACTTCCTCCTTTACACATCTAATTCCTACTCCTTTACTTGTCCATAAAGCTTTCTCTGATTCCTCTGTGATGAATTAAGATGCTTTTTTTCAGTGGTTCCACAATTGTGATACTTCAGTTGTTAAACTTAGACACCATCTGAGGGGTATCTACTTCCTAAACTATTAGATAATCATTTCCAAGGAGTAAGGATAGAATCTGATTCATTTTTTCTGGTGCTCACTACAGCAGGAACACACTGTAGGCACATATTTGTTGAACTGTTAAAGGGACACTAAAGATAATAATGTTAGACTAGATAATTTCTAAGAAATATTCCAGCTCAAAATTTCATGAGACTTCATAAAAGATAATTCATTTAACTCTCACAGATAACAATTTTTATAAATACCTTCATGGCAATGTTGCCCCTCATTAGTAGACCTAAATGTCTGAGACATCAGGGTGAGTGTTCTTTAAAGATAACACTAGTGATTCCCTTTCCTGATATTATTAGCCTAGCCATTCAGAAAACTCTTTCCTAGTCCAAGACATCTACAAAGGCTGAATTAATATAAAAACTTTCTTGCTTAAAACATAGCTTAGGGAGGGAGGCTCAAGAGGGAGCAGGGGATACATATATATATGACTGATTTGTGTTGTTGTATGGCAAAAACCAACACAACACTGTAAAGCAATTTCCTCCACTTCAATTTTTTTGAAATATGGTTTATGGCTACAAATTAAAAAATATGAGGCCAGAAAATATTCCACAGGATCAGCAATGACCACATTGAGGCTTACAATAGAGGCCTCTACTGACTTGTTGGCTAAAAATTTGGATTTTGATGGTATTCTGATAAAACAAAAATTAGTCTGAAACCTGATGAAGTAGGAAGCTATACCGAAAACTCCTGTATAAGATTAGGATTCCCAAAAGATGAATCACTTAGTAGGTGAAAAAAAAACAAAAGCATCCTTTAGAAAGAGACTGACTCACTGCTGGCTGTATTTAAACAGGTAACAGTAAGAAAAAGATTCTTCTCTGAAAATTTCTAACCACAAGCTCATACTTTGGTGTAGTCTAATATATGGTCTTAGTTTAAAGTGCAGTTAGATCAATAGTTCTACTAGGCATCTTGCAGAAAACAGAAATTTTCTCTAGAAGAATGGATATTAAATGAGGATCTCATAAATCCTTTATCATAAGTCATTAGACACACAAGGAAATAAGCCCCCATGTGTGGTAGTCAGTATTGACAAGCAAAGTCTGTAGTTATCTTAATATCAAATGCAGAATATAAAATAGGTCTAGTGAGAAAACAAGAAAGAGATTAAAATTATATTTAAGATTAAAAAAACTATCAAATTAAATAGACTTCAAAACTGAAAAATAGAATAATAAAAATTAACTTAATGGATGGATTAAAGAGCCTTTAGACATAGCTCAAAAAATAGTTGATGAATTGGAAAATATATTTGAAGAAATTACCAAAACAGCAGTAGAAAAACAAAGAAAAGGAAAACATGCAAGACACAAAGATACAAAGGGTAATGGGAGAAGCTCCCTCATTTATCTACCTAAAGTTCTAGAAGGAGAAAATAGGAAAATGAGGAAGAGCAAATTTTCAAAGACAAAATAACAAAACATCCCCACCATTGAAAAAAGACACAGACCCTTAGACTCTGGAAATCAAGTGAACCCATACCTAGACATAGAATGAAATTACAGAACATCAAAATCAAAGAGAAACTATGAAAAGGAGCTAATAAGAAAAATTAATGACCAACAAAATTTGCCAACAACAATGGAAGCTACAGTGGAAAAATAAAATCTTTAGGAGCTAAAAGTAAATAATTCTCATCCAAAGATCATTAGCCCAGAAAAAATATCTCTAAAGATTGAGATTGAAATTAATACCTTGTCAAACAAACAAGAATACAGAGCACTGTGTATGCACGCGTGCTCAGTCCCTCCAGTCGTGTCCAACTCTTTGTAATCCTGGGGACTGTAGTCTGCCAGGCTCCTCTGGCCACAGGATTTTCCCAGCAAGAATACTGGAGTGGGCTGCCATGCCCTCCTCCAGGGGATCTTCCTGACCCAAGGATCGAACCTTCATCTCTTGCATCTCCCACACTGCCAGTGGATTTTTACCACTGAACCACTGGGGAAGTTCAGAAGTAGTGATACTACTTATAGTATCACTATAAGTAGATTTCAGTGTAAGGAAATCTCTTAAAAAGATGTATTTTAGGAAGAAGAAAAGTTATACAAACTTACACTTAATATAAAACTGTATGATAACAGCATATAATTTGGAAGCAGTTAAGGTATTTCAAAACACTTACACTATTTGATAGGGGGAAGTTATTGATAACTTTAAAGTGAAAGTGAAGTCGCTCAGTCGTGTCCGACTCTTAGCGACCCCATGGACTGCAGCCTACCAGGCTCCTCCATCCATGGCATTTTCCAGGCAAGAATACTGGAGTGGGTTGCCATTTCCTTCTCCAGGAGATCTTCCCAACCCAGGGATTAAACCAGGTCTCCTTCATTATAGACAGATGCTTTACCATCTGAGCCACCAGGGAAGTCTTTGATAACTTTAAACTTTCTTTAATATAACATGAAAAATTCTAGGCTAATCACTAAAGAATTAAATATAACATATACCTTCCAAACTAGTAGGGGGAGGGAGGATGAAATAAGGAAAAAAGTCTCAATAAATTCAAAAGAAGCCAACAGAAGGTGAAAGTAGAGAGTAAAAGGAACCAGAGGAAGAGCTGGTAAAATGAAAAGCCCAAACAGATGGTAAATTCAAATACAGTGTATTCATAATCATAATTAATGCAATTGGCTAAATTCTTTAATTATAGACAAAGTCTATCAAAATGGATAACAAGAAAAATTCCAACTGTGTCTTGTTTATAAATGAAACTCCCAAAATATAAGTACACAGAGAAGTTTAATAAATAAATAGGAAAAGATAAGGAATTGCTTAATGGAGTTAGAGTGTCAGTTTTGCAAAATGAAAAATTTCTGGCTATTGGTTTAACATAACAATGTGAATATACTTAACATTATTGAGCTGTATGCTTAAAGCATTTAAGATGATTAATTTAATATTATGTGCATTGTACCACAATTAAAGATTTTTAAGGATGGGAAAATAAATGCAAGGCAAATATCAAACAAGAGAGAAAGAACTAAGTTATTTATTAAATATCATTATTTTAATATAATAATTTTAGAATTTAGTTAGTATATAAAGCAAAAGTAAACTAGAAACAAAGAAAGATGCTTCATATCAATGGAAGGTTTGATTTACCAGGAAATATAACACTTCTCAATTTGCATATACCCAATAACATATTTTCCAAATATACAAAGCAAAATATTCATCATCATTGTAGGCTATTTTAAGATATATATATCAGAAAAAGAATAAGTCAAATAGATGAGAAATCATAGCAGAATACATGAGCCACACAACCAATAATCTTAACCTAGTGGATACTATGGAGAAGGCAATGGCAACCCACCCCAGTACTCTTGCCTGGAAAATCCCATGGACAGAGGAACCTGGTAGGCTACAGTCCATGGGTCGCTAAGAGTCGGACACGACTGAGCGACTTCACTTTCACTTTTCACTTTCATGCCCTGGAGAGGGAAATGGCAACCCACTCCAGTGTTCTTGCCTGGAGAATCCCAGGGACGGGGGAGCCTGGTGGGCTGCCGTCTATGGGGTCGCACAGAGTCGGACACGACTGAAGCGACTTAGCAGCCGCAGCAGCAGTGGATACTAGAAAACACTGTGCTTAGAAACTGAACAGTACACATTCTTTTGAAGACCACATGAAACATTTATCAAAACTGACCCCCATAGAAGCAAGTAAGTCTCAGCACATTTTTGAAAATTAATATCATGCAGACCACATTCTTTGATCATAACCAACTGAGAAATCAAACACAAATTTTTTTTAAAGCACAGCTTTAAGGACATCATCTACTGCATACAGATTTAGGGAACTCGGTAAACAACACCTCTCTGTTTTTAAAAAATGTCTCTGAATACATTCAACTATCAAGACAAGGCATTTCCCTATTTACAACATTGTAATTTTCATACTACTCAATTCAATAAATGACTTTATCCAATGGCCCTAATGAGAACTGTGAGTGACCACCAGACCCCAAGGAACACAAGCCACAGGTCCCCAGCTGCAACGGGAGAGACTCCTGAGACCACCAGCATCACCACAAACTCGTCAGCAGTTTTGTAGCTTTGTTTTTATAGCTTACCACTTGGAACTAATTGAAAAATTGCATAAGGAGTCAGCAGATGAAGATAAGATAATCACTTTATTGAGAAGAAAGTTTTTGGAGAACATGGTCTATATATGCATCAGTCGGCTTGCCTAGTGACTCCTTTGAATTTTACATACTATCTAAAGCCGCAGTTGATAACCACAGCACTCAGCCTGCTCCTTGAAGCTTACTGCACAGTCAAGGGCAAAACAATATGCATGCTCTCTGCAAACAGACAGATCCCAAAGACATGTCTGAGGAAGAGACATATACATGCCTGGTCTATTCCCAAACTCACAAACCAGGCAAGTCACTCATCCACAGGGAGGGAAGAGATGATGGTGGAATAGATGAAAATAGAATTATTCTGCCACACACCTCTCCACACACAAACATGGAATGACTGATGAGAAACTCCCTACTACTCAATAAGGAGGAGATTTGCAATCTTTGTGAGGATTTGGGTGGGACACATGGGGGACAGTTTCTTCAGCATCTTTACCTCCTTCCTGGAGCTGGGCTGTGATGTTGCGTTCACACTGTACTTTAGCTTTCAGCACAAGGACAATCTGCTCCTCTATAGTGATGGTGCCATCAGAATCCAGCTGTAGATATGAACAAAATACAAACAGAGAAAAACACGCCACTATTTTTTCATGCCATGATACAATCTTTCATTATTTCACCTTCTAATATAATTAAAAATTACTTTGATATCAAGCTACCTTGATATAGTTCTTTATAGAACTAATTCTAAAGATATAGTTCTTTATCTGAATCAAAATTCAAAATCCAGCAATGTATAAGATTTTAGAATAATCGTATTTTACCTGCTTAGCCTAAAGAAAAAAAAACCATTTTTTATAAATTTAAAAGCTATAGAAATTTTAATTAGGTAACCCTATTAGATGTAACATAATCATAAAAAATAATAAACATATTGAAATTTTCCTGGAATGTTACAAAGACCCAACATTTCATTAGTCCTCTTACAATATGTCAATTATGGCACATAAAAAGGAGAAGTGGACTAGAAGATTCTGTTTAGCTCCACTGAAAAATTACCAGTGAAACTGGGCAAATCATTCCATGTTTTGGGGTTTTGGTTTACTCATCTGTGAAATGAGAGAATTACTTCAAATGGTTTCTAGTTAATTTTTGCCTTTTTTCCTCCAGTTTTATTGAGATATTACTTACAGACAACATAAATTAAGTTTACAGGTACTATGTAGTGATTTGGTACATTTACATATTGTGAAATGACTACCACAATAAGATTAGCTAACACCTCCTTCCCCCCACCACATAGTTACCTTTAACATGTGTGTGATGATAACATTTAAGATCTACTCTCTCAACAATTTTTGAGTATATAATCAAGTACTGTTAATTATAGTCACCATATTATACACTAGATCCCCAGATCTCAGTCACCTTATAGCTAGAAGTTTGAACCCTTTGACCAATATCCCCTCATTTCCCCCACTCTCCAAGCCTTGGATGCCGCTATTCTACTCTCTGAGTTCATCCTTTTTAGGTTCCATACAAATGAGAACATACAGTATTTGTCTTTCTCTTACTTATTTCACTAAGAATAATGGCCTTAAAGTCAATCCATGTTGCACAAAAGGCAAGATTTCCCTCGTCTTTATGGATGGATCATATTCCTCTGTGTGTGTGCATCACATTTTCTTTATTCATTCATCCCTTCACGGACACTTAGGTTGTCCCCAAGTCTTGGCAATTGTAGACAATGCTGCAATAAACAAGAGGGTACAGATACCTAACCTTTGAGATAGTGATTTCATTCCCTTTGGGTATTATCCAGAAGTGAGACTGCCAGATCATACAGTAGTTCTATTTTTTATTTTTTGAGGAACTTATACTTTTTCCAGAGTGGTTGTATGAATTTACATTCCCACCAATAGTGCACAAGTGTTCCCTTTTCTCCTCATCCTCTCCAAAACTTGTCTCTTGTCTTTTTGATGATAGCCATTCTAATAAGTGTGAGGCAAGTGGATACCTCATTGTGATTTTTGAGGTACACTGCCCTCATTATTAGTGATGTTGAGAATCTTTTCATGTACCTATTATTTCTTTTGCTGTAGAGAAGCTTTTTAGATTGAGGTCATCCCAGTTGTTTATTTTCTGTTTTATTGCTTGCATTTTGATATTATATCCAAGAAACAACTGCCAAGATCAATGTCAAGAAACTTTACCCCTGTTTTCTTCTAGTAAGTTTAGAGTCTTAAATTTAAGTCATTAATCCATTTGGAGTTAATTTTTGTGAGTAGTATAAAATGGGGGTCTAATTTTACTCATCTGTATATGAATCCCCATTTTTCCTAACACCATTTACTGAAGAGACTGTCCTTTCCCCAGTAGGTATTCATGGCTCTCTTGTCAAAGAGTTATTTCTGGGCTCTTGATTCTGCTCCATTGGTCTATGTGTTTTTATGCCAGAATTCTGCAGTTTTGATTACTGTAGTTTTGTAATAAAACTTGAAATCAGGTAATACAGAGTAGATCAGTAAATAGGTATATAGTCTTAAATATTTCTGCATAGTATTCATGGGCTTCCCTGTGGCTTAGTGGTAAAGAATCTGCCTGCCAACACAAGAGACACAAGTTTGACCCTGGGGCCTGGAAGATCCCCTGGAGAAGGAAATGGCAACCCACTCCAGTATTTTTGCCTGGGAAATCCATCCCATGGACAGAGGAGTCTGATGAGCAAAGTCCATGGGGTTGCAAAGAGTCGGATACAACTTATCGAATAAACAACCCACATTTATTTTAATGTGAAAGGAGAAAATAATCAAAACTAATTTGGGGGGTTGGAATACACACCATAATTTAGCTAATAGTGAATATAGTGAAGTCACTCAGTTGTGTCCGACTCTGGGACCCCATGGACTGTAGCCTACCAGCCTCCTCCATCCATGGGATTTTCCAGACAAGAGTACTGGAGTGAGTTGCCATTTCCGTCTCCAAATTTAGCTAATAGACTAACACAATGCAGACTGTGAGTTAAAGGCAGCTACACTAAAAGTTTGCCATAAAATCTCACTTATCAAAAAGGGAGAACAAAATGGAAAGAGATGAGTCACCTGAGTGGGCAGGGGGAAAAATCTGACTTCTTCCAATATTCTCTAGAAACAACAGTCAGGCACCATTCAAATTGTTTTGGTTTTTTGTTTTGTTTTTCCTGGCTGTTTTTCCAATTCGTTACTTTCTTTTACTTTAATCCCAGAAAACACTGGGTAACCTATGACCAAGTTTTAGAACTATAAATTCGATTCAGAGAAATCTGACCTCAATTATTAAACATGAACATTTCAGATCACACTGTGTACTGCTTTTACCTGAACACATTTACTTTTGTTTCCTTTTGTACAGATGTAGCCTTTTTACTGGGACATTTTCAGGAACATAACCATCACGTAAACTACAGCTTCTAAAGATAATTTTGTTCTAAAAAAATAATGTGGCCAGTTTAACCAGGAGGTAAGTTTGATTAGCATGTGCTAACTGATGATCTGTTAAATTGATCGTTACTTATGTCATCAAGTGAAAGTAAGAAACTGTTCATCTTTTATATTGTTTTTCCTTCCATCTGTGTTACAGAAACATGTATTCTTTACCATAAAGGGACATTAAAAATCACAGTGTACTTAAACCAAAAGAGCAGTTTTCATATTCAGTGTCCGTTACTCCAAAAGCAACAACTACATCCAAAACAAAGCAGTACATTTAGAAATATACATTTTAGCAATGTTTCCTGTGCAAATGATCATTTGTAATAGGGAAGAACACATCTAACTCCATAGTGGGTCTGTTTCTTTTTCTTTAACCTTTGTGCTGTCTTGCCTGTGGTTGGTCAAGCTGGCTCTGCACCTTTTGTGAAAGAATGGTGCCTACAGCCTAAAATATTAATATATAGGATAGCCCATTCTCAAGACTCTGACCTTTAAAGATATAGTACTCTTCCATTCATATAGTGATAAAAAGTTGCAGTTAAAGGATTAAAAGAATATGTTAATTGAATTCTGTTTGTCAGTTACTAAGACAGGAGAGTTCTAGAAACACCCAACTCTTTTAGATATATGCTTTGCCAGCAGCTCTCTTCTCTCCAGCTTTGTGACCAGATGTGCGTTCCACTGCATAATTCGTACCCAAAGCAGCCACCTCTGCCCCTTAGAGTAGAATGACATTTTAAAAATTAAAACTGGAGTAAATAATTAGAGATTTGAGTTCCCTACGGGCTCAAAAAAGACAGATTTTCTTGGAATGAAAGAAATACAAATTACCTCAGTCAGTGGAGTGATACAACTCCAAAGGTGGTACCTTATGGAAAAGCTACCACCCAAAGGCACCGTGCTAATTGTCACAGGGGACTCCAAACTGCTTTCTACTTCTCCATGGGACTGGCCAAGACTTTGTCAGGCTTGCATCCCAGTCTGAGGCTCTTTTTGTGCAACCCTGCTTCCTCACCCTGTTATCCTTCTCAGGCATCACCCTCCAATAAACCTCTGTTTCCCGGAGGATTCACTAACAGTAAAGAAAAACTACAGACATTAATACAGTTGTCTTCATTACCACGTGAGAATCTGACTGGGAAATTAATTGCTGGGCCCTGCAATGACGCTGGATGCATGAATTCATGGCATCTGAACTGATCTGAGCGAAAGGAGGGGTGGGGGGTAACCTCACCAACTAAAGACCACAGAGTTATTCAAAACAATTGAAAAATTGGCCTATGTTATCTATTTTGTAATGCGATCCAGGATTTGCCAGATACTAAGCATTTATTATACACAAGCCACAAGCTAATTCTGCTTAGATGAGTTCCCTCTGTTGTTCTATCAATATATTAAAACTTTTAAATATATGTCTTGGCTGGGAATGAAGGAACTGAAGACCAAACAAGGTGTCACTGTGTCTAGGCAAATCTCTTTAATGGAACCTTCAGATTTTGTTTAAAGTGCCAAAAATGTAAATATTATCACAAACTGTCATTTTACATAACTCAATCTATAAACATAAATGGAAATCATTGTTAAGCAACGGGTCTCAACCAGAGGTGATTCTGCCTCCCAAAGGACCGTGGGCAGTATCTGGAGAGACATTTTCAGTTGTCACAGCCAGGCAGGCGTGGGGGTTGCTACTGGATCCAGTGTAAAGAGTACAAAGACTGTACTAAATATCCTACAATGGACAAGTCAGCTCCCATAACAGACTTACATGGCCCAGTATGTTGAGAAACTTTGACTTAAAATTATAGAAAAAGTGTTCAATGTCCTGATTTTTCTCAAGCTAAAAGGAAACATCCTTCCCATGATGGCATAGTGATTTTTTTCTTTGTTGTGTTAAACAATATCTCTCCATTTCCTTAGAAAAAGTAATCTGGAAAGTTGAATAAAATAAATGGTTAGAGGTCATTTGGCCCTTATTTAAAGAAGCTGAGTTTTCAAGCACAGTATTCAAATACTTTATGAGACAGAAACATTAGAGATCACCCGAGTTCTATCACTGTCACCAAATTCTTAGTTTTTTCCATTCTTTCACATTCTTTTTGTTACCTGGGTGAAATTTTTCAGGTTCGAGCATACTCTACTTTTGAGCATTCATTGACAATCTTATTACCCAATGACAATGTACCTCGTTTGATTTTTTTTTTTAACAGATTTACTTCACATGAACTATCCTGGTCATATCAGCAGGGCAAAAAAAAAAAAAACAAACACGTTTAGAATAACTGAAATTTAAACTGGCCGTTTGAAAGCCAAGAACATAGTATTAAGTTTAGACAGTATCAGCGCATAAATTAATGCCTTAATTTTCTCACGGGGAAAGAATTTAAAAAACAAAAACAAAAAAACTAATTGGGGGCTTTATTTGACGGTCAAAATGCGCCCCCTTCCGAACAAGAGAGAAATAACCTTGGTTTCAGTCATTCAGTCTCAGGGCTCTTAAACTGCATTCCACTCAACACTACAAGCGTCTCTTTCTAGCTCATCTGAAAACTTGAGTGTAAATCCTACATTTTATTTGATTCAAAACAATGTGAGGATGAATTATGACTTTAGATGTACATTAGATATACTTTAGATGTACATTAGAGAGGCTCCTTTGTGAAAGATCACCCAGAAAATCTCTGAAGGATACTAGCAGTCCGAAAATGACAATTGCCACTTATTCTAAAAATGAACAACTTAGCTTTAACAAGTTATGTATATTTTTCTATCTAGTTTCCTCGCTTTAATGATACATGATTCTGTATTAGCGAGATCCTGCTATCCTTTCAGACAGTGGTCACAAACAATCCTAGAAATTTAAGTTCTCAAAACGGACAGTAAATTGCCAGCAGACAAAAAATAATGTAATTAAACGGGGAACCAAGAAGTCTAACAGTAAGAAAAGTTACTCACCTCTCAACCTCACTCTACTGATCCAGAAAGCCATGGTTCCTAAATATCCTCTTACTTAGCAGATGCCAAGATGCTGGTGGGAATACCACCCCAAGACATCATTCGCCTAAAACATATCTCTGCAGCTCCACTAAATGCCTGTCAAACCTTGCCGAATGCACCTCTGTTGTGTGTGTCTGTCTGTCTGTCTCTGTGTGCGTTAGTGCCTGGGTGTGTAAGGATGCGCGCACCTTGGTCTCAGCCAAGTCCCGGCGTTCAGGCAACGCCGGGTTCCGGCGGGTGGCTCCGGGAAGCAGGTGCCTCGGGGCTCTTACCTGGGCTCCGGCGAGAATGCAGCAGCCGAGCAACAGCCACCCCCAGAAATACAGCGAGGCCCCTGGCCCGGCCATACCCAGGCCAGCCCGAGCGAGGAACAGGAACATTCTTCCCGGACCCCGGGATAAGCTCCACACTCGCAACTTGGCCGGCGCGAGGCAAACTTGTGACTGGGAACGCGGTGCAACTGGGAGTCGGGTTCGAGGCTACCGGCCGGGATGCCCTGGACCAGGCCGTCCGCGCCGCGTGCGTTTGGGGTTGGGTCTTGCCTCTCGGAGGCTCGCGCCTTGGTCGGTACTTCCAGGCTGAGCTGCTCGAGTCCCGGCCTTGACTCGCTGGCCCCGAGCCGGGTGGACGCGCGCGCGCCCCCCGCGCGGCTGCTGCAGGAGCGGCAGGAAGGCGCTTGCGCTCCTCTCGAGTCTCTCTGTCCCGCAGCCCAGGGGAACCCGAGGGCGACGGCTCCGGAGCGCCGCTGCGACCGCCCGCAACTCGCACTGTCTCTGCCCGCCTCCACTCTGTCCCACGTTCCGATACCCTGTCTCTAGGGGTACCCTGGGTCGTTGGGGAGTGTCCGAACTTCCCCTCCTGTGCAGACGCGGGCTGACCACCAGCCGCTGAGACCCGAACAGCGTGGTTAAAGGTTTCGGAGGCCAGGTGCATTCCCCACCCACGACTCTAAGCTGACCAGTACCTACACCTCTGAAGTTCTGATTGCCTTTCTCTTTAACCACTGTACTAATACTGTGCCTCTGGGGCGCGGGGGCGGGGAGAGGTTCTACTCCAACAGAAATCTCTAGGTCAAAAAATTTTGGATCTTTATATTTTTGGATCCAGACATTAAAAAATACTAATATTCTTTAATATTTTTCTGTGTGTAAACACCTTCGTTTGAGACGGTCTTTTTATTTTTCTTAGAGGCATAATCGTCAAGATGCCAGAGACTGCTTCACAGACATTGAATTGAAGAATATTGTGTCCCAGCATCTGATACAATTTGGAAAGAATGATGCCCATAGATGAAACACAAATTCGCTTATGTCCTCTTGACAATGAGCGTCTGACTTGTCACCACTGGCTTTCATTTGAATGCCGAAGTGAAAACGGAGTTTGCTTTTAAAACGTAGATTGCTGATGACTGCGTGCCCAGTCGCTCAGTCATGTCCAGGTCTTTAGGACCCCGTGGACTGCAGCCTGTTAGGCGCCTCTGGCCATGGGATTTCCCAAGCAAGAATACTGGAGCGGGTTACGATTTCCTCCTCCAAGGGATCTTCCCCACCCAGGGATAGAACCCAGGTCTCCTGGGCTTCCAGCATTGACAGATGGATTCTTTACCACTGAGCCTTACTAATGACTGGACAGCTCTAAAATACTAGAAATAGATAACTTTTATTTCTAATTCTACATATCTAAAAAAAGTTCACTCCTATCCTTTTTATTGTTTGTAGTGCAGATAGGTATTATAAACAATTTCATTGGTTTTTCTCCATCCATAGGATTTTCCAGGCAAGAGTACTGGAGTGGGTTGCCATTTCCTTCTCAGTGGGATTCCCGCATTGTAGGCAGACTCCCGTCTGAGCCCTGAGGGAAGTCCTTTTTTGAAATTAGCAAAATCTGAATTATATAACATATACACACACACCTGCAAAATTACCCATAAAGTTCACTTTCCACTTATTCTATCAAAAATTTAAGGGAGGGTACACCATTTTTCGAAACAGGACTCTATAGTCACTATTATCTAAAATCTTTGGTTTGATTAAATTTTTAAATTATTTATTTTTGGCTGTGCTGGTTAGTCATTGCTGCACAATCTTTAATTGTGGTAAGCAAAGGCTACTCTCTAGTTGCAGTTCAAGGGGGCTTCTCATTGCAGTGGCTTCTCTCGTTTCGGAGCATGGGCTCGAGGGCACACAGACTTCAACAGTTGCAGCGTGTGAGCTCAGTAGCTGCAGCTTCCAGGCTCTAGAGCACTGAGTCAATAGTTGTGTTGTTTGGGCTTAGTTAGTCTGCAGCATGAGGGATCTTCCTGTACCAGGGATTGAACCTGTATCTTCTGCATTAGCAGGATTCTTTACCACTGAGCCACCAGAGAAGCCCCTGGTTTGATTAAATTATTTAGAATTATTAACTGTTATACTACCCTACTCAAGCAAGAAAATAATAACAGTAATAATACTGACAGCATTTAATGCGTGCTATATTCCAGTGACTCTCCTATGCACTTAAAATAATCTCTACAATTAACCCTGTGAGATAGTATTACTGTTATCCATACTTAGAGATGAGGAAATAGACACCAAGTCACTTGCCCAAGGTCTAGATATTCTATCACATGGCACTTTTGATCATCTGTTCTCGTGTTTGGCAATAGTATTATTGCAAATTTTGTTTCATATTCCTTAGGCATCACAAAACCAGAAACACTTTTCCAGCCAGTTTTTATTTTAATTTCTTTGTGCCCCCTCCCAAAACTTGAGAATAATTTACTGTATGTTACAGCAGTACTTCTGAGCCGGAGGAAGTTTTGTCCCAGGGTACATCTGGCAAAATGTCTGGACATCTTTGATGTGTCACAGTACATGTTTTGGCATGTTAGGTAAAATAAAAAAAATAATTATGAAATCACTGTGATAGCATCAGGATATTTGTCACTCTTCTCATAAAATGCTATAGTCGCTTATACTATGGGTCAACATGGAATAATTAGTTAGGATTATTTACAAACTGATAATTGGGGGAAAAAACAAAGCTTTGTGCAAAGTTGATGAAGTGGTTTAACCACCAAGTATCTTTGCAAATAACATCTTGTCAATCTTTGAAATCAGTGAAAACTAGGTAAAGGCTCTGATCATCCACATTCACAAATGAAAAACAGGATCCAGATGATAAAGGAACTCAATTTCAAGTCAATCTTGGTCTCGAGGAAATTATCTATTTACGGCAAAGTTTCATTTTATGTCTTGTTGTTTATTTACTTGTTAGCTTGTTTTTGTCTAAGTCATAAGCTGACCATCTGCAAAATTAGCTGGCATGCTTGTTAAAAGGCACCTTCTGGGGCTTTACCTCAGACTTGCTGAATCCCAGTATCGAGGATCGGGTTCAGGAATCTCCATTTTTAACAGGCTCCTGGGTGAATCTCATACAAGATTAAGTTTGGACACCGCTGTCTAGACTGATGGATACCACAGCTTATGTGGGCTTCATGGGCAGTTGAAAGGTCTGTTAGTGCAATCCTTTTCTTCTTTGCAAAGTGTATTATCCTATGCAATGAAGGGCCAGGGGTCAACAGTCAGCCTACTTGGTAAGAGGGAGATATGGGGAAAAATAGGCTATTATCCAGACATTCCCCCAAATTGCAGATTGGACAGCCTTATTTTTTTTTTTTTAGTCTCACTTTTTTTTTTTTTTATTAGTTGGAGGCTAATTACTTTACAATATTGTAGTAGGTTTTGTCATACATTGACATGAATCAGCCATGGATATACATGTATTCCCCATCCCGATCCCCCCTCCCACCTCCCTCTCCACCGGATCCCTCTGGGTCTTCCCAGTGCACCAGGCCCGAGCACTTGTCTCATGCACCCAACCTGGGCTGGTGATCTGGACAGCCTTATTTTGAGGAGGATTATTTTTGTTGTTGTTTTTCTGTTCATCCATCTCTAAGTGCAGCCATCTTTCCTTGTTTTAATGTTGTACTTCTTTCTTGGTTTTTACTGGGGAGAACTGAAGGATCAGAGGCTATGCTCTGCTCTGCTCCTCCCCGAGGCTCCAGGTTGAGCTTCTCTTGAGCAGATCACCTACTGTCTCTAGAAACAAATTTGGAGGACTTCATGCTGGGAGCAAAGATTGCTGCTGTTAGCTGCTCTGCATTTGGAGGAAAGGCAGCTAAAACATTAAAATCAATTAATTAATTTGAGGCTAGTTAATCATCTATGTAAAGTAATTGCTTTGATCATTTCTCTAAGTTCTTTAAAGCTTTTTAATCACAAGCTAGGATATGTGGTTGTGCAGTTGCTGTGTGTGTCTGTGAGTGTGTCTATGTTTGCCTGTCTATATCTGTGTGTCTGTCTGTGTGTGTTTACAATTGTATCTATTTTTAACATTCCAGGAATTTCTCAAAAATTTTAATGTACTGATCTCATGGTTTTTTTGTTTTCCAGTATAATGCTGTTTGATTCTTTTAAAATGTGGATATGCATTTTCTTTCATTTCAGTAGGGTTTTAAACAGCAAATACAAATAAATGTATGTTCTCTATTCATGTTTTCTGGAAACCCAAAGGGAAAAAATGTATTTAAAAATTCTTGGGAATTCCCTGGTGATCCAGTGGTTAGGACTCTGCTCTTCCACTGCACGGGTCCTGGCTTTGCTGGCAGGGGAACTAGGATGCCACAAGCTGCATGGAGGGGGAAAAAAAATTTAGTCACATTTTTATTATAATACCTATTCCAAGAGAAAATTTTGCAAATGCATAAAATCACAGAGGAGAATAAAAATCCAACAAAATTCCTCTACCCACCATTTTGTTTGCTCATAATTATTTTGAAATAAGATTGGCCTTTTACTGATTATAACATTTTTTAAAGGATGAAAAACAAACACACTGAATAAGAAGGGTGGGTTGGCTGGGTTTTATTATTTAATTTTCTATACTTTCTGTTATTATATGATACAATATTCTGGAAACAAAGAGTTATCACTGGGATGACTATCCTTGAACATGTATTTTTATGTAAATCATTGAATATTGCCTTAAAATAAAATTTTAAATCAAAAATTTTCTTTAAAAAATATGCTCAAATTTAAGACTTACTACAGATATTTATAAACTGAACTTGAACTTGTTTATAATTTTGCTGAAGCATTTCCTTCCACTCTTGCTTTTGTTGGTATTACATTTTAGAATTTTGTCCATTTAGAAAAGATGACATGTCCTTACTGTTTTTATTTTTAGTGTATTAATAAGGTTGACTAATGCATACATGTATTGTCCAATAGTATCGCTTCTTTTTAAAATCTATTCTTGCTTCTTGAGGGAAGAGATGAAGAGGCACACAGTCTGAAGCAAGAAAGCC